ATACTGAAAAATCGAGAAATTGAAAAATTCCAAAACGACATAAAGTTGGGAAATCGCAAAATTGAAAAATCGGAACATCGAAAACCTTTGAAAATCGAAAAATCGAAAAATCCGAAAGTTAAAAGGCCGAAAATCGAAAAATTTAAAAACCGAAAAATGGAAAATTTAAAAAATCGAAAAACTGAAAATTCAAAAAATTGTAAAATATATAGGTATATGGAACAACTGAAAAATCGAAGAACTGAAAAACCGAAAAATCGAAGAATCAAAAACTCTACTATTTAAAAAATCGAAAAGTTGTAAAGTTGAATAATTGGAGAATCGAAAAATTGGGCTATTCAAGAATCGAAGAACTGAAATCGAAAAATTGAAAATCGAAAGATCGATAAATATGGAAATTGGAGGATCTAACAATCGAAAATTCAAAAAATCCAAAAATCGAAAAATCGAAACATCGAAAAATTGACGAACTGAAATGCGGAGAAATCGAAAAGTGAAAAATTTGAAATAAAAAAATGAAATATTTTACACCAAAAATCGATAATTCGATAAACTGCAAAATCGAAAAATCCAGAAGAACAATCGACAGATCGAAACTTGAATTCTCAATAAATCCAGAAATCGAAAAACTGACAATTAAAAAAAAATCGAGTCTAAAAGTCGAAAAATTGAGTGATTGATCGATTGATTGAAGTTGAAAGATCGAAATATTGAAAAGTAGAAATATCGAAGAACTGAAAAATCGAAGTCTCAAAATTTTTAAATTCGAAAAAAAAATATTTAAAAAATTGAAAAAACCAAAAACCTGAAAAATAAAAAAATTAAAAATTCAAAAAATCGTAAAATATACATATCGAACAACTAAAAGATCGAAGAACTGAAAAATCGAAAAATCAAAAAAACGAAAAATCGGGTAATCCAGAAATCTAGAATTTAAAAAATCGAAAAGTTGAAAAGTTGAATAATTGGAGAATCGAAAAATTGGACAATTCAAGAATCAAAAAACAGTAAAATCGAGAAATTGAAAACTTCCAAAGCTGAAATCGAAAAATTAAAAATGGAAACATCGAAAAACTGGAAAATCGAAACATGTAAAAATCGAAAACCGAGAAATGGAAAAATCGAATCATCGAAAAATTGAAGAACTGAAACACCGAGAAATCGAAATAGCCCAAAATGAAAAACTTGAAATTAAATTGAAATCGAAAAACTGAAAATCGAAAGATCTAATAATAATCGAAAAGTCAAAAAGTCCGAAAACCGAGAAATCGAAAAATTGAAGCACCGAGAAATCGAATAGCCCAAAATCGAAAAGTTAAAAATTTTAAATAAAAAAATGAAAAATTTTAAATAAAAAAAGAGGTAATTCGAAAAACAGGAAATATTTGAAAAACCGAAAAATTGAAAAATCAAATAACTGAAAAATCAACATTTTAAAAATTCAAAAAATTGTAAAATGTACATATCGAAGAACTGAAAAATTGAAACAGCAAAAATCGGAAAAGTTGAAAAATTGGAAAATTGAAGAATCCAAAAATTCGATAATTGAAGGATCGGAATACTGAAAAATCGAGAAAATGAAAAATTACAAAACTAAAATCGAGAAATTGAAAATCCAACATCAAAAAACTGGAAAATCGGAAGATCTAAAAATCGAAAGTCCAAAAAATCCAAAAATCGAAAACCGAGAAATCGAAAAATCGGAACAGAAAAATTGAAGAACTGAAACGACGTGAAATCGAAAAAGCCCAAAATTGAAAATTAAAAAAAATAAAATAAAAAAAATTAAAAATTTGAAATAAAAAAAATCGATAATAATTGGAAAAAGAGTTAAATCGACTAATCGGGAAGAGCAATCCAAAGATCGGAACAAAGAAAATTTCGATAAATCGAGAAATCGAAAAACTGAAAAACAAAAAAAAAAAATCGAATTTAAAAATTTTAAATCTAAAAATCGGGAAATCGAAAAATTTGGTCTTGTAAGTTAACCAATGAAGTATTGATTGATTGATCGCTTGATTGATTGATTGAAATCGAAAGATCAAAAGATGGAGAAAGCGAAACATCAAAAAACTGAAAAATCGAAAATAAAAAATTCGAAATGTTGAAAAATACAACTGTCGAAGAACTGAAAAATTGAAGTTTCAAAATTTTGAAATTCGAGAACGGGAATACATATTTAAAATCGAAAAATTGTAAAATGTACATCTGGAAGAACTGAAAAATGGAAACAACGAAATTCGAAAAATAATAAAATTTAGCAATGAAAAATCGAAAAATGGGAGAATCGTGAAATCGAGAAATCCTTTAAAAATCAAAAAGTTGAAACATTAGAAATTGAAGAATCCAGAAATTGGGTAATTGAAGAAGTGGGGTCCTGAAAAATCGAGAAAATGAAAAATTCTATTACTTAAATCGAAAAATTCAAAGATCTAAGTCCAAAAATCGAAAACCGAGAAATCGAAAAATCGAAACATAGAAAAACTTAAGAACTGAAACACTGAGAAATCGAGATACCCCAAAATCGGAAATTTAAAAATTTGAAATTAATGAAAAATGAAAAGTTTTAAGTTAAAAAAAAATCGATAATTCGAAAAACGGGAAAATCGAAATATTAGGAAGAACAAACGAAAGATCGAAACTCGAAATATCAATAAATCGAGAAATGGAAAAACTAAAAAATAAAAAAAAATCTATAGGTAACAAAAAATTCGAAATATGTACTGAAAAGTGGAAATATCAAAGAACTGAAAAATCGAAGTCTGAAAATTATGAAATTCGTATGAGGGGATATTTAAAAAATCGAAAAATTGAAAACTCAAAAAACTGAAAAATCACCTTTTTAAAATTTTGGAATATTGTTAAATGTACATTTCGAAGAACTTGAAAATTGAAAAATTTAAAGCGGAAAATCGAAAATTTGAAAAAATGAAAATTGATGAATCCAAAAATTGGATAATTGAAAAATCTGAATACTGAAAAATCGAGAAATTAAAAATTCCAAAACTGAAATGACAAAAATTTGGGAAATCGCAAAATTGAAAAATTGAAACATCAAAAAACTTTAAAATCTAAAAATCCAAAAGTCTAAATGCCGAAAATCGAAAAATCAAGCTCTTTAAAAATCAAAACATCGAAAAATTGAAATACCGAAACACCGAAAAATCGAAAAAGCTCAAAATCGAAAACTTAAAATGGAAAAATTGAAAAATTTAACATCAAAAAAACGAAACATCTAAAATTAAACAATATCTTAAATCGGAAAATCGAGAAAATAGAAAAATGTTCCCTTTATTACTTAACGAGCGTAAGCTCAGGAAGTATAGTAAACGAGCCCATCTAACGAATTGTTATTTTAATGTTTTTTCGACGTTTCATGCCCCTAGAGTACGAAAAAAGTGATCTTCTGTTTCCGTCTTTCTGTCGTCTGTATCAATTTTTATGAAACATTATCTTCTAAATTACTGGACCGATTGTTGTCAAATTTTGTATATATGTGTGGAATATCATGTAAATGCTAAAACGCTAACCAAAATTTAGCCAATCATCCTCACTAACAATTTGACGACGCCCTCTCAAAGAATTCTATCTTAGAATGTTTTAAATGTCGTATAACAATGTACTCCTATACTTGTGGTGTATGAATCAGCTTTGCGTTTTTTCCTTCAACGTCGAAATTTTCGCAGAAATAAAGTCTTTCATAAAAAAATTCAAAGTTTTTATCTCAAAACAAAGCCATCTGTAAAATCTTCAACTCTCAAAAATATTAAATTTTCTCATTTTGAAAAATCTTGATTTCATAGTAATAGAGTACACATTTTTTTTTAATTTTAAAAACAAAATTAATTTTAGAAAGTTTAAAGTGTCATAATAAATGCACAATAAATTTCAGAAAAAAGCTCAATGTTTACTTTCCACGGAACACCGCTGTCATGTAAACACCCCTAATTGGAGTCCGATATGCCATAAAAGCACAAATTTAATCAAGCGAATGCATGATTTGCATCAAAATTTGCAACGATATATTCATTATCTCGCCCAACAAAGAGTGCTTCCACGAACAGCTAATTACAAATTAGGTGTGTAAATACCCTCCCACACATCCACAATTTTAATTGTTTAACTCGCCAAAATCGCGGAAACAAGCCTTTCGAGACCACTTCATTCCCCTGTTTGCACGTCATTTGCATACCGACGACACCCCATAATCCAAAAAACTTAAACCCACAACTATAAATTCCCGAAGATTAACGGCGAACTAGAATTATCTATAATAAATTATCCTCGGCCCGAACCAGTCTATCATTACTTTTTTGCGATAGCGATGAATTATTTCAGTTTGTTTAGCCCCGATACTGCGGACTCAATCCAGACAGTCCTGCGAACCTTGAACTTGAAGGTCCGATGCCCCTAATTACAAAAAGCGGCGTTTAACGCTTCAATTAGTCCAAAGGCTTCAATTTCGAACGTTTCATTGACCACAAGCTGGGTGTTTATTTATACGAAGACGCGAAAAGAAACAAACAAAGGACTTTTTAATGATTCATTCGGTGGAGGTTGACGTTTCTATATTTGAGCTACACAAAGAACACTATTTTCGGAATTACGGTGGTTTTGTTGCTCGATTAGCGGCATGAATTTTCCGAGAAGTGGAAATCGATTGCTTGCAGGGAAAATTTTATTTTAATTATGGGGGATGTTCGATTCGGGGAATGTGTGAGCGAGTGTATCGGGACTTGATGAGTGATGTTTCTTGGAGCTTTGTCTGCTTTTTAATCTCGGTGGGTCGAATCGGAGCATATTTTCTGAGCGAACGCACTTCCAATCCAATATCTGGAGTTAATGTGGAAGTGAAAGCGGCAAAAATTGTTCGCTGGAGAAATGATAGGCAACTTATCTTTTTAGACAGAAGAGGGAGAGAGGGCTAATAGTTTTTGGGTTGTGGGGAATTCAATACCACGATGGAATATCGACACACTTATTATTTATTAAAAGCAGTACAAAAGTTCAGACAATTTAGGTTAGATTTTTGGTTCTCCAGCGAGAATGTCGCCTTCAACACCACAATGGTTCTCGCCTCTCAGAATTTTGAAAAATCCTTCCAGGTCGCCCCATCCAGCACCCCACGAGTTAGCAACCAGCCAATAAGGAGTCCCGTCTTCGGTTCCCCACCCCACAATCTTGACATTGTGTGAACCAGCGAACTTTCCAGAGGTGTATTGATAAACCCCTACACATAAAACTTGAATCATCGACCTTTCAGTTCTTCACAACTCACCCGACTTGTAGCTAAAAAAGTCATCGTGAACCGCAAAACCACCATCCAAGGGTCCATTAGTCATAATTTCGGTTTGAATTTGTGGCACGTCTTTATCAATCCGGTAACGATTTAGCCCAAAGTGTTTGTCTTGAGTGTAGGTACCATCATACGAACCCACACACTGGGTTTGACATTGAGGGGTGACCCCTTTTTTGTACGCTTCCTCGACGTAAGGTTGGCACCCTTCGTTCGAATTATAGTCCCCTCCTGAAACTAGCCCTTCAGAGATCCAGTACTCGAAAGCCTTGTAATGGTAACCCCCGTCGCACCCATCGCCACAGTCCAGACAACACGAAATTAACTCTTCAGGCGAAAACTCAAACTCGACTGTACCATTTGTGGCAATGCATTGTCTATCGGTTATAGTTTGGGAAGCAGCAAATGCCTGAAATTGTCTCTAAGACACTCGAAGACTTTAATTATAGTCTCACCCAGCACGATCCACATTGTCCTTGGTCTCTGATAGTCTTGATGGAGTCACAATTCGGCCACTGTTCTCTGGAGTCGAAAAACTCTGGAATATCGTCAGGGTTCACTACATGGATTTTGATTGGGACGTCAGTGAGATTGTCACTACGTGCTCCATTTAGACGCCTGAGCTGCTCTATCGGTGTATCTTCTGGAAAATTCCTTCCAGCTTTCCACGTGGTTTGTTTTTCGTTGATGGATTGGATGAATTCGGTGGTTAGAAAATTCGCCCAAGACGACGAAAGTGTGGCAAAAAAGGCAATCAATAGAACGTTTTTCATTTTGGTTGTTAGCTGTGTTTGCGTTGCAAGTGCGTAAGTGAACTGATACTGTTGGACGTGGGTGGTCTTATAAAGATTGATAGTGTTAAGATTATTTTGTCAATAGGAAAAAATTTTCGTTGTGTTTTTAGACTATCAAGGTCTTGATACTTGTACTTTTGTTGTACTCTAGATCTTGCATTAGAAAAGTTCGTTTTTTCTTTTTTTTCCGATAGCCTTAAAACGATTGCAAGGTTAAATTTAAATAATATTTACTATTTTGGAAGTTGGAGATGACGATGGGGATCATCAAAAAAATTTTGGTTAGAGTTTTGCCATCTACACGATAGTCCTAATACATATATGTAAAAAATTGACAACAATCGGTCCGGTAGTTTAGAAGAATATCTGACCAATAAAAAATTTCATATTTTGAAGTTTACATACTCTGATAGATGAAAACAGGCTTTATTAGCAAAAAAAAAATTGATTAAATCAGTTAGAATAAATTGTGTTTTCATCATTAGGAGCTTTAAGTTCTTGAAACACCTACATTTTGTAGAGTAACAACATAAGGTACTTTTTAACAATTTTTTGACAAGTTGACTTAATCTGCTCCTCCCTGACTTCATCTGACTTGCGTTTACCTGACCCGACTTGCCCTGATCTGACTTGACTTGACCTCTCTTGCCCTGACTTGATTTGACTGTCCTGACCTGACTTGCCTTGACCTGACTTGACTTGCTCTGATCTGACTTTCTCTGACCGGACTTGCCCTGAGTATTTGGTAAGATAAGTCGGATTTTGGCAAATGACATATCCTCTAAGAAAATAGGGGGTGGGTGGGCGGGGCTAGTACTTGGTTAGATAAGACTCACTTTGGCAAATGATATACCCCCTAAGAAAATAGAGGGCGGGTGGGCGGGGCTAGTATTTGGTAAGATAAGTCTGATTTTGGCAAATGATATATCTTCTAAGAAAATAAGGGGCGGGTGGGCGGGGCTAGTACTTGTTAAAATAATACTGAAAAGATCTCGGTGTTTTATTTCTGAAAAAATTTTAATGAAGCTAGGGAGCTTCTTGTGTATTTTGAAATATGTGAAAACCTTAGTAGTCTTTGTCCTCTCTTTGTCCTCTTTCTCCTTTTAACAACATTTCAATTTAAAAACCAAAAAATCAAAAAATCGAAAAGTTGAAAAGTTGAATAATTGGAGAATCGAAAAATTGGACAATTCAAGAATCGAAAAACTGTAAAGTCGAGAAATTGAAAAATTCCAAAACTGAAATCGAAAAATTGAAAATCGAAACATCGAAAATCTGGAAAATCGAAAGATCTGAAAATCGAAAACCGAGAAATCGAAAAATTGAAACATCGAAAAATTGGAGAACTGAAACACCTATAAATCGAATAGCCCAAAATCGAAAAGTTAAAATTTTTAAATAAGAAAAATGAAAAATTAAAAAAAGAGGTAATTCGAAAAACAGGAAATATTTAAAAAACGGAAAAATTGCAAAATCAACAGTTTAAAAATTCGAAAAAATGTAAAATGTACATATCGAAGAACCGAAAAATTGAAACAGCAAAATCTGGAAAAGTTGAAAAATTGGAAAATTGAAGAATCCAAAAATTCGATTATTGAAGAATCGGAATACTGAAAAATCGAAAATCGAAATATCAAAAAACTGGAAAATCGGAGGATCTAAATATCAAAGTCGAAAAAGTCCAAAAATCGAAAACCGAGAAATCGAAAAATCGAAACCTAGAAAAATTGAAGAACTGAAACACCGTAAAATCGAAATAGCCCAAATTCTAAAATTAAAAAATCGAAACATCGAAATCTCGATAAATCGTGAAATGGAAAAACTGAAAAATAAAAAATCGAATTTAAAAATTGAAAAATCGAAACATCGAAGAATAGAAAATTCCGCAATTTCAAAATCGAAAAGTTGAATAATTAGAGAATTCCAAAACTGAAATCGAAAAATTGAAAATCGAAAAACTGGAAAATCGAGAGATCCAAAAATCGAAAACCGAGAAATCGAAAACTCGAAACGTCAAAAAATTAAAAATTTTAAATAAAAAAAATGTAAAATTAAAAAAAAAAGAAGTTATAGAAAAACAGGAAATATTTAAAAAACCAAAAAATTGCAAAATTAACATTCTAAAAATTCGAAAAATTGTAAAATGTACATATCGAAGAACCGAAAAATTGAAACAGCTAAAACTGGAAAAGTTGAAAAATTGGAAAATTGAATCCAAAAATTCGATTATTGAAGAATCGGAATATTGAAAAATCGAAAATCGAAATATCAAAAAACTGGAAAATCGGAGGATCTAAATATCAAAGTCGAAAAAGTCCAAAAATCGAAAACCGAGAAATCGAAAAATCGAAACCTAGAAAAATTGAAGAACTGAAACACCGTAAAATCGAAATAGCGCAAAATCTAAAATTAAAAAATCGAAATATTGAAATCTCGATAAATCGTGAAATGGAAAAACTGAAAAATAAAAAAAAATCGATTTTAAAAATTGAAAAATTTTGATACCGAAAAATTTTAAATCAAAAATCGGGAAATCGAAAAATTTGGTCTTGTAAGTTAACCAATGAAGTACTTGGTTAGATAAGACTCACTTTGGCAAATGACATATACCGTAAGAAAATAGAGGGCGGGTGGGCGGGGCTAGTATTTGGTAAGATAAGTCTGATTTTGGCAAATGACATCCTCTAAGAAAATATGGGTGGGTGGGCGGGGCTAGTACTTGGTTAAATAGGAGTCACTTTGTCAAATGACAAACCCCCTAAGAAAATAGAGGGCGGCTGGGCGGGGCTAGTATTTGGTAAGTCTGATTTTGGTAAATAACAATCTTTGGGTCCCTTTGTGTTTTATTTCGTAAAGAGTTTGAAACAATTTTGGGAGCCCCTTGTGTCGTTTAAAATATGTGAAAGGATCTTAGGGGTCACTTGTCTTGAAAGATCTTGAAAGAATGATTTTGGCGAATGACATACCTTCTAAGAAAATAAGGGACGGGTGGGCGGGGCTCATCAATTTATAAGACTCACCAAATGCACAGACTTTTTCCTCCTAAAAATATTTTAAAATTTCAGAAGAAAAAAGATTCAAAATTGTAACAAAATTAAATACAAACAGATCTATTATGTATTTTTTATGTTTTAAGAGCTAGTTTGAAAGTAATTGTAATCAAATTCATAAACTGACTTGCCCTGACCTGACCTGACCTGCTCTGACCTGAAGTGCCTTGACCTGACTTGCCTTTCAGTTAATTTGGCTTGACCTAACTTAACTTACCCTGACCTGATTTCCATTGACATCATATGACGTTCACTGACTTGCCTTGCCCTGACCTGACTTGCCCTGGTCATACTTAACTTGCCCTGACCTGATTTTTCCCGACCTGACTTTTCCCGACTTGACTTTCCCCGATTTCACTTTCCCCGATTTGACTTTCCCTGACCTGACTTGCTTTGACCTGACTTGCCTCGACCTGACTTGCTTTAACCTGACTTGCTTTAACCTGACTTGACTTTGACTGAACTGATTTTCCTTGGCCTGGTTAGGCTTGTGCTTGCAGAACTAATCTGTTCTGACTTGACATAACCTGGTTTGACGTGATGAAGCCTGACCTGACCTGTCTTGAAATTATTTGATCTGAGTTTTTGTTAGTGTTCATTTTGAATTTTTGTCAAATTTATGACATATTTTATAAGACTGACAAAATTTGCAAACTTTATTCTAAAAATATTTTAAAATTTCGAAAGACAAAATATTCAAAATTATAACAATGTTTAGCAGAATCGTTTTGAAAAACTACTTTCAAAGTACTCGCAATCACATCGATAAAATGAAAATCTGAAACGAAATATTTCCAGCCTGAATTCTGCAACTCAGCTGTTTAAAAAAAATAGTTTCTCTATTGAAAGCTCCTTTTTATAATCCTCCCCATTACCACTAGCGTCATAAACATCCTCAAAGGTCGCCATCCCTTATCCCAAACACTTAAACCACGCAACTCCACCTAATCCCCCTCATCCATTTCCCTAACTCCCCCATAAAAATGACCACGAAGAAGTCCTTAACTTTTCCCGGAATCCCGTCTGCGAACCTCCCACCACTTCCAACAAATAAATCTCTTAACAGTTTAAAATCGTCCTCTTTGTGCTCCGCTACTAAATAGATGACTCCCATCAATAAAACGCCAAATATTTCTCTTTATTTACACCCGTTTGTCGGAAAATAATCCGAGCTAGAAGCTGACAAGACTCCGGCGTCGTCTCAAATTCCAGCGTGCGATTACCCGGAAACGCAAATCCGGCTGATTCCTTTATGACAGTAATTTGCCTCGTACGGCTTTTAGCCGGAATAAAACACAGAATAACGCCCCTCCTCTAAACTAATTCGGTTCTCGCTACTTGGGGCGGACCCCGTAATTATGTTCGGGGATATTTCGCGATGGACAAATAAACACAACGGAAATTTTACCTGCGGAGGTTAGTTTAGTTTGTGTCTAGTTCGTCAGTCTAGACGGGGTTTCTCGGGGTGATGGTGAACTCGACTGTCGGCTTGAATGGGAAACTTGTAAGTAAGATGATTAGTACGGGATCAGGGGCTTTAGAGACTTGACAGAATTTTCTGCTCGGGAGGAGTTCAGAAGTTGTATAGAAATGATATTCGTCATAATGTTTCGTGAGCGACGTGTCTTTGACTTAGTAATCGCTGCTAAATTAGTTGCGAAAGTTTAATGACAACTGCAGAGAATGTTATTAATATATATGGTATATACAGTGCTTAAATTGAGCTTTTTATTCGTGGAAATGTTATTGACAGAAGGAAACTTCCAATGGAGCTTTTAGAATATATTATGATAACTTCAGTAATGTTGTTTCGACTATACCTCGTTTATTTTCGTAAGTGACGTTTCGTTAATCAATGTTCATACTGAACTTTAAACACATTATTTTTTATTTGTGAAAGCAATTATATGAAAATGTATGTTTGTATATTAACAATAATCTATTACTTTTTGTGTTTTTGTTTGTTTTGTTTTATATTTTATTTAAAATCTTTACGTTGAATTTACAGGTGTATACCTAGAACGGGGCAACACAAATCTCATGGCGCGAATGTGTAACATTTGAAAGTCTGCAGGTATGATGAATACAATTAATACTCATTAATTAACAACAAATTAATAATAGTCATAAAAAATATTTATAAATATTGTACTAACCGTTAACGAAAATTTAAACTTAGATGGTGTTTTTTTTTATTGGTGTTTTCCAAGGTTTGTGCTAAGACCCTTTCTATACTTGATTTATATCTTCGATATTTATAATATAAAAAACAATATTTACCTAGAAGATAACATTGTTTTAAGTAAACTTTATTTTTATCTTTGTTTTTATTTTATTTTTTTAATTTATTTACACATTACACATTATAGAATACACAAGATTACATATAATTCTGGACGCAAAGTATACATAATAAAAGCAGTATATTAAAAAGTATCACTTAAAATTTAGTGTTTGTGTACATAAACGTCGGCGATTTAATTATTATTATTATTTATTTTTTTAGAGAAATATCCAGTCATTGTTGGATTTTACTGTTCATAAATGTACTTGCTAGTATATAGGTGTATCCGAACTGCGCCACCATGACTTGTTAATATCTGCTGATCGTGTTTTTCTTTAAACTTTGTATTTGGAAGAGTTTTAAAGAATCTTGGGGGTGGGTGAGTGGTATTACCTTTCTTTAGGAATATATGTATTATGTAAAAATGTTGGGGACCGCTGACGTTTTATTAAAGACTTTGAAAGGATCTTCGAACTCTTTGTTTTGTTGTTAAAGAATTTGAAAAGATCTCGGAGACCCTGGTGTTTTATTTCTGAAAAAGTTTGAAACATGTCAAAACCTTAGTAGTCTTTTATCTTTTCGTTTTGAAAAGATTTTAAAATATCTTGTATTCTGCGTTTGAAAGAGTTTGAAAGAATCTTAAGGGTCCCGGGTGTGTGTTTTTTTAAATGCTTTAAAGAATCTTGGTTGAGGGGGCTGGGAAATAGGGGGTCTTTTTTAAGGAATATGTAGGACTTGGGGACTTTTGACGAAAGAATATTGGGAGCCTCTTGTGTTTGTCTTTGAAAAAATTTTAAAAGATCTTCTGGGAGTCTTTGTTTTTTGTTTTCGAAAGAGTTTTAACGAATCGTAGGGGGAGGATTAGTGTCTTTTTAAAGAATGTGAAAAAATTTTGGAAACCCCTGGCGTTTTATTACTGAAAGAGTTTTAAAGAATCTTATGACCTTCTTGTGGCTTTTTTGGTTTCGAAAAAAATTTAAAGGGTCTTTGGGAGTCCTTGTGTTAGTTTTTGAAAGAATTTGAAATGATTTTGGCGAATGACATATCTTCTAAGAAAATAGAGGGCGGGTGGGCGGGGTTAGTACGTGCTAAGATAAGACTGAATAATATTAAATTCAAAAGTGGTCCCGCCCACCCACACTCTGGTGTGATTTTTTTTTTATTATGTGAAAAATCTTAGAAGGCTCCATGTCTTTCATTTGTTAGAAAATTTGAAACAATTTTGGGAACCCTTGGTATTTTGTTTCTTAAAGAGTTTGAAAGGGTCTTTGATTTTTTTGTTTTTGAAAAAAAAAATAAAGGGTCTTTAGGAGTCCTTATCTTGTCTTTTTGAAAGAATTTGAAACAATGATTTTGGCGAACGTCATACTTCCTAAGAAAATAGAGGGGGGTGGGCGGGGTTAGTGCTTGGTTAGATAAGACTGACTTTGGAAAATGACATACCTTCTAAGAAAATAAAGGGCGGGTGGGCGGGGCTAGTACTTTGGTAAGATAATACTGATTTTGACAAATTACATACTCTTTAAGGAAATAGAGGGTGGGTGGACGGGGTTAGTACTTGCTAAGATAAGACTGATATTGGTGAATAACGTACCATGTAAGAAAATAGTGGGAGGGTGGGTGGGGCTCATACTTGTTAAGATAAGACTGATTTTAGCAGATGATATATCCTTTAAAAATATAAAGGGCGGGTGGGCGAGGCTAATACTTGGTTAGATAAGACTGACTTTGGTAAATGACATATCTTCCAAGGAAATAGAGGGTGGGTGGGCGGGCTTATTACTTGCTAAGATAAGACTGGATAATATTAAATTCAAAAGTGGCTCCGCCCACCCACCCTCGAGTGTGATTTTTTTAATATTTGAAAGAATCCTAGAAGGCTCCTTGTCTTTCATTTGTTAGAAAATTTGAAACAATTTTGGGAACCCCTGGTATTTTATTTCTGAAGGAGTTTGAAAGAGTCTTATGACTTTCTTGTGGCTTTTTTGTTTTTGAAAAAAAAATTAAAGGGTCTTTAGGAATTTCTATCTTGTGTTTTTAAAAGAATTTGAAAGAGTGATTTTGGCGAATCACATATCCTCTAATAAAATGGAGGGTGGGTGGGCGGGGCTAGTACCTGGTTAGATAAGACTCACTTTGGCAAATGACTTACCCCCTAAGGAAATAGAGGGCGGGTGGGTGGGGTTAGTACTTGGTTAGATAAGACTCACTTTGGCAAGTGACATACCCCCTAAGAAAATAGAGGGTGGGTGGGCGGACTTATTACTTGCTAAGATAAGACTGAATAATATGAAATTAAAAAGTGGCCCCGCCCACCCACCCTCAAGTGTGTGTGTTTTTTTAATATCTGAAAGGATCTTAGAAGGCTCATTGTCTTTCATTTGTTAGAAAATTTGAAACAATTTTGGGAACCCCTGGTATTTTATTTCTGAAGGAGTTTGAAAGAGTCTTATGACTTTCATGTGGCTTTTTTGTTTTTGAAAAAAAATGAAAGGGTCTTTAGGGATGTTTGTCTTGTGTTTTTAAAAGAATTTGAAAGAGTGATTTTGGCGAATGACATATCCTCTAAGAAAATGGAGGGTGGGTGGGCAGGGCTAGTACTTGGTTAGATAAGACTCACTTTTGACAAATGACATACCCCCTAGGAAAATAGAGGGCGGGTGGGCGGGGCTAGTACTTGGTTAGATAAGACTCACTTTGGCAAATGACATACCCTCCAAGAAAATAGAGGGTGGGTGGGCGGACTTATTACTTGCTAAGATAAGACTGAATAATATGAAATTAAAAAGTGGCCCCGCCCACCCACCCTCAAGCGTGTGTTTTTTTTTTAATATGTGAAAGAATCTTAGAAGGCTCATTGTCTTTCATTTGTTAGAAAATTTGAAACAATTTTGGGAACCTCTGGTATTTTATTTCTGAAGGAGTTAGAAAGAGTCTTATGACTTTCTTGTGGCTTTTTTGTTTTTGAAAAAAAAAAATTAAAGGTCTTTAGGAGTCTTTATCTTGTGTTTTTAAAAGAATTTGAAAGAATGATTTTGGCAAATGGCATACCCACTAAGAAATAAAGGGCGGGTGGGCGGGCTAGTACTTGGTAAGATGATACTGATTTTGGCAAATGACATACCCTTTGAGGAAATCGAGGGTGGGTGGGCGGGGTTAGTATTTACTAAGATAAGACTGATTTTAGCAGATGACATTTTTTAAGAAAATAGAGGGTGGGTGGGCGGGGTTATTACTTGCTAAGGTAAGACTGAATAATATTAAATTCAAAAGTGGCCCCACCCACCCTCGAGTGTGATTTTTTAATATCTGAAAGAATCTTAGAAGGCTCCTTGTCTTTCATTTGTTAGAAAATTTGAAACAATTTTGGGAACACCTGGTATTTTATTTCTGAAGGAGTTTGAAAAAGTTGTATGACTTTCTTGTGGCTTTTTTGTTTTTGAAAAAAAAAAATAAAGGCTCTTTAGAAGTCTTTATCTTGTGTTTTTAAAAGAATTTGAAAGAGTGGTTTTGGCGAATGACATATCCACTAAGAAAATAAAGGGCGGGTGGGCGGGGCTAGTACTTGGTAAGATAATACTGATTTTGGCAAATGACATACTTTTTAAGGAAGTAGAGGGAGGGTGGGCGGGATTAGTACTTGCTAAGATAAGAGTGATTTTAGCAGATGACATTTTTTAAGAAAATAGAGGGCGGGTGGGCGGGGCTCGTACTTGGATAGTTAAGAATGACTTTGGCCAATGACATACCCTGTAAAGAATTAGAGGGTGAGTGGGCGGCGTTATTACTTGCTAAGATAAGACTGAATTAATATTAAATTCAAAAGTGGTCCCGCCCACCCACTTTTGGGTGTGATTTTTTTTAATTTCTGAAAGAATTTTATAAGGTTCCTTGTCTTTCATTTGTTAGAAAATTTGAAACAATTTTGGGAACTCCTGGTATTTTATTTCTGAAGGTGTTTGAAAAAGTTTTATCACTTTCTTGTGGCTTTTTTGTTTTTGACAAAAAATTAAAGGATCTTTAGAAGTCCTTATCTTGTGGTTTTATAAAAGAATTTGCAAGAATGATTTTGGCGAATGACATACCTTCTAAGAAAATAGAGGGCGGGTGGGCGGGGCTAGTACTAGGTTAGATAATACTGACTTTGACAAATGGCATACCCTCTAAAGAAATAGAGGTAGGGTGGGCGGGGTAGTACTTGGTAAGATAAGACTGATTTTAGCAAATGACATACTCTCTAAGAAAATAAAGGGCGGGTGGGCGGGGCTAGTATTTGCTAAGATAAGACTGAATAACACTAAATTCAAAAGTGGCCTCCCCACAAACCCCGAGTGTTTTTTTTAATATATGAAAGAATTTTAAAAGGCTGCTTCTCTTTTAGTTAGAAAATTTTGGTAAGATGATACTGATTTTTGCAAATGACATACCCTTCAAGAAAATCGAGGGTGGGTGGGCGGGGTTAGTTCTTGCTAAGATAAGACTGATTTTAGCAGATGACATATTGTTTAAGAACATAGAGGGCGGATGGGCGGGGCTATAACTTGGTTAGATAAGACTGACTTCGCCAAATGACAAACCCTCTAAAGAGATAGAGGGTGGGTGGGGGGCGGGGTTACTACTTGCAAAGGTAAGACTGAATAATATTAAATTCAAAAGTGGCCCCGCCCAGCCACCCTCAAGTTTGATTTTTTTAATATCTGAAAGAATCTTAGAAGGCTCCTTGTCTTTCATTTGTTAGAAAGTTTGAAACAATTTTGGGAGCCCGTGGTATTTTATTTCTGAAGGAGTTT